TTTATATATATTAGGAAGTCCTCTTTAGGACTGTCCACGACGTGGTCTATTCTTCTGGGATCCCCCTGTCGACTTGCATGGGCATTGGATGCCTTATCCTCGGTACGATGCCTGTGGTTTAAGGTATATTCAGAATATGTTAAATGATGAATGATGGACAAATCAGCATCTCATGTTATGTTATATCTATACTCACTTTTTTCTTATGTAGTAATGCCTTAAAAAGCGATATTCTCGCAAAACATGTTGAGTCACTATGGTTATTGACATCTGATTCATGTTCCCTGACACCCTTACCGGGATATTTTATATTTGTATGGATCAAGATTTTATATATCATTGAGATTTGTAACTGCATAGAATATACCACTCCAATGGGGGTCCTACATTCTTAGCAGATGTTTGTTATGTACTGTTGCGTAATTGTGTACATCCAATAAAGAAATTATTTTAATGAATATTGTTGCAGTGCCTCTAAAGTCCAAATTTCTGGCCTTCTTCTTTTGGTCGATCATTACTGGCTACACACTTGTCCTAAGTCAGTGACTTACCAAAAAGTACTAAGTATGAATTTTAATCACTAATGATGCCACCAGGAGGAGATCGTTCTTTGTATCCATCCATGGCATATATCTTTAGTTCCATACTGAATAAACTGTGAATGAAGCTTCATAACACCCTAACTTTGGCCTTAATGTGGTTTGGAACATGATTATTCTATTCTCAAGTCTTGGATGGTTCTTCTATATATATATCACCTCAATTCCCTCCTGGCTCTTCTACCATGGTATTTCTGTAAGCCGCATGGCTAATGTGTCCAGTTTGATTGCCTGTTACTTTGCCCCCCATGTTGGCGCCCCTGTATGGCCTTTTGTGAGTCCACATTGAGCCTACTGTGACTTTTTCTCCTGAAGAAAGGGATCATATCCGCAAAACATGTAGAGGAGCTAGTATCTCCCCTAGGGTTCTATCATCTCAGGGGTGTTAATGTGTAGCATTTGTGACTTAGGTATTCCATTATACCATGTTGTTAATTCATGTGTTTTTAAAAATGAATTCATGTAATTGTTAATATAATATGTGTAAGAACAAATATATTATTTTTATATTACTGTGTTGCTTATGGGTACTGAGATAGTCCATTTATTCCAATTTGGGCTAAATCTCACTAAGATACAGTATATATTAACATTTTGCAATTATGTAACTAGTTGGTTTACATAAAAACCTTAAACACATGATTAGGAAGATCATTCCTAGAGTTCAACTTTAAAACCTATCTCCAGGAAACCTACAAATTCTCCCATGCAGTGGTACAGCATCACACAATGCAAGTGTAGCACCCTCCTAGTTTAGCTAGGGGGAACTAGACCCTGATGGCTAGAGAGGAGCTGATTAGCAGCTCAGGTGATGTAGTCAGAGGGGTAAAATTGTGGTCAGGACTGAGAGACTCTGCAGGCCAGCCCCTCTGGAATTTCCCCCTGCTCTGAGTGCCTAGGAGGCAGTGGGTGGATCTGAGGAGTGGTTGGCTGCACTTTTTAGGGACCTCAGCCAATCCCCAACAGGAGGCTTGGCAAGAGACTGAGCTCCCTTAAAAGTGTTGAAACCTGCTCAGTAGCAGGAGTGTGTTGGTGGGAGAGGAGTAAGAAGCAGGAAGATGTGAGGCTAGAGGAAGAAGACTACCATGAGGCCTAGTGGGATGGGGCCTGCCTGCGAGCCTGGAGCTGAAAAGAAGGAAACCTCAGGACTCACTGGCCACATGAGAGAGGACCTCCTGTATGGCAGGAAAGGAGCTGCCCAGATGATAGGCCTGGTAGCAGCCATTCTGCAAGTGATACAGGAGACGATCTGAGTGAATACACCCGCACCCCCTGGGCAGATAAGGGAAGGAGCACTCTGGTGGGAAACCAGATTATCCCTCTGCTAGTGACTGTGCACCTTATTTAAGGGAACAGGAGCCCGATCCCCTGCTCTGTAAGAAAACCTTCAAATTGCTGGATGAAGAAAAGTTCATCTAGAGTCTGTGGTAGTACAGTTGGAGCTGCTGGCTAGCACTCCAACAGAGAGAAGAAGCAATGAATAGTTCTGGAAGTAGTCCTCAGACTTCAGTTCCCTTGAGCATCCTATACACCCCTTTACCCTATCCAAGTTGAATTCCCCTCAATAAAACAACCTAACCAATGCTCAAGGCCTGGTTTCTGTCTGTGGATGAAATCTGTGTGGAAAATGCTAACTGAATGGCTGTGCAGGACTATAGGGGGCCCAAATTCAACAGGAACCGCTACGGGGGTTAGTGCTACACAAGAATTATCTGCTTGTTTCTGTCTAGGGGGTTGAAAAAAAAGATTTACTTACTGTCTCCTCTGCTCCTTCAGACTCTACTGCACTGCTAGATTTGTCCCTGTAGTGTCATCAAGGACTATAGCCCTGCATTGGACATGAGGGTGCCATGGAACATGTGCTGAAATTGATTTTACTGTTCCCATAGACTTAACAAGCAGGGGAGTTTTTTTAGGTTTCCTGGAGTTGGGCTTTAACAATAAAATCTACTAATGCTGTGCTCAGGCAGCTTTAAGAGCCCTGTCACACTCACCTCTCGCGTAATCCTTCTGGAGCTTCGCCCGCCAGCCAATGAGGAGTGATGTTGCTTCCACGCACGTCACCCCTCCAATCCACAGGGGTTTTGGTGTAATGTCAGGGGTCTAAACAAACCTCTGATGTTTCACCTTTGAGACAGAGAAAGGAGATTGAGGACACAACCTTCTCTGCAGCCTCAGCTGTTCAGAATGAATGGACAGGAATAGCTCTGTACAGATCTTTCTGCTTATTCACAAACCTAAGCATAGTAAACACAGTTTATTATGCTTCAGTTATGAATTAACAGAATCAGTGATCGATACTGATTACTGACTCTGTCCATTCAGAAAAGGAAGGGGCTGTCAAATGACATATTTACTGGCCCCTTCTCAGCTCTCCATTCTGACACATTCCCCGCAGCAGCCAATGGGATAGAGGAGGGGGGAACTCAGAAGCTCTGGCAGGGGAGTCAGGAGAGCACACAGGGGTCCAGGGGCAGCAAGACCTGGATAGGAGGGGCAACATATAGAGAAACTAATTCCCTCCATTTTCCTTCCTCCTGAATGCCTGTGGGAGGGGGAGGAGAAGAGGTGGACTTTTGCAGCTGCAGCAGGAAAAGGAAGGACATTGGTTCCTCTATATTGTGCTGCTCCTCCTATCCAGGTGTACAGGGAAACCACACAGGCCCCCTGAAGCATAGGCTTGGGTCACAATTGAGATCCCTGCAACCCATGTAGGTATGCCCCTGCTTTCCCCTGTAATGGGCCAATCATCTGTGGCAAGGGTTTTCCCCAACCCACAGCTGCATGTATACAAGAAGCACATACAGATGTGGCTTCGGGGCAAGCAATGTCCTCACCACAGATGATTGGCCCATTACAGGTGACAGCTTCTGGGTGGGCTCAGCCACATGGGTTTGGAAGCTCATTGGAAAATGCTTCAACCAGGGGTGGACTGACCATTCAAGCACTCGGACACTGCCCGAGGGCCCGGGGTCAGTAGGGGGCCCCATGAAATGCCCCTGGTACCTTTTTTATAGGCTTTTTTCAGTGTGGGCAAGGACACAGGGGCCCAATGATCCCCTATTGTCCGGGGGCCCCATGAGTTGTCAGTCCACCCCTGGCTCCAACTCATCAATACTGGGGAACATATGCGAGTGCAAGGAAGCTCTGATGCTACCAGGAAGTGTTGGATCTTTGCCTAGTCATAACAACATTTGAGTAGTGCTGAAGGACTGAAAGCTGCTGTAGATGCTCAGGCACCTTCATACCTATCAGCTGTTTTTTGGGGATTTTTGTATGTTGTCAGAACACTCAATTAACTGAATTTAATCTCTCTTGAGAAGAGGAGATTAAGGGGGATATGATCAACATGTATAAATACATCATTGGTTCATATAGTGAACTTGGTGCAGAGTTATTCATCCCGAGGTCATCACAGAGGACAAGGGGGCACTCTTTACGTCTGGAGAAAAAGAAATTTAATCTCCAAACACAGAAAGGTTCCTTCACAGTGAGAGCTGTGAAACTGGAATAGACTCCCTCAAGAGTTGGTTCTGGCCAGCTCAGTGGACTTCTTGAAAAAAGGCCTGGATTATTTTCTTAGATACACATAATATAACTGGATACTAACATTTGTAGGTAAAGTTGATCCAGGGAATATCCAATTGCTTCCGGGGGATCAGGAAGGAATTTGTTTCCCTGCAGGAGAAAATTGGATCATGCTTTGCTGGATTGTTTTGCCTTCCTCTGGATCAACTGTGCGTGTAGGATTATAACTTTTTTTTTTAATGGTTGAACTGGATGGACTTTTGTCTTTTTTTCAGCCAGACTAACTATGTAACTGTGTAACAATACTTTACCACAAGGACAAGGATCTTTAAGAATATCAATATGTATATATCAGCATTTTAGCTTTGGAAATTGAGTCACTTTAAACACAAACCCAGCTGAGGTCTGCAAAGGAGGATTGAAAGTGCTGCAAAAAGCTCAAAAAGCAACAGTGCTTTATATTCTTGTCTTGTCACATATTGTCCCACACATTACATTGTTGACTAACACACTAACCTTTCAACATATATACCTAACATCTGATAAAAAGGTCACAAAGATACTACTTTGTTGCCACTCTGATCCTTGTGGGGAGGGGGATGACTCAACCACAGGAAAGACTGTCCTGACTTTGCTGGGCCTTATATTGCATGGTAAACTCATATCCTAGGTTATCCAAGTTCTCTTCAATGTCTGCAACTCCTATAATGGTGCACGTTTTCCTTACAAAGTCTGAATGAAGCAATGAAAATATGATAAAAAAGGTATATTTTAAGTCATGAGTAGATGGAAATTATTATAGTAAATATTACTGCAATAATGACACTTTTATCTGTTGTAGGTCCCTGAAGCAGCTTTCAACAATAATAGAAGATGACACTTGAAGAGGAATTACCAGATTGGCAGACCTCTCAAGAGTTTTATGAAAAGTATGAGCCCAAAGAGATCTTGGGGAGGTAAAGTAAATGGTTTTATGTATGAATGTTTTACGCATTCCCCATTCTAGCCAAGATGAATAATAAAAAATGTTTTTGCTTTAGATATACTTTAGGGTAAATTGCACTTATGTTTCAGCTTCAACATAGTTGCCGTATGTCATGTGTAGTATTAGCAGCTCACTCAGTGATCTCACCTGTTGCCTGATGCTGCTCTAATAAAGAAGGGACATTGCACTCTGCAGATATTTAGAGAGGCAAAAGACGAATGCATGATGAGCAGTTTCTGGAGCCTGATGCAGGAGTCAGAGCCAGTTCCATGTAAATAAATCAGCATGGCTTGCATAGAAGACTGTTTTTTGTCAAAAGGCCACAGAGGTCAAGGCACACGAAGCCAACATTTCAAAGGGTGATGGGCTTCTTGAATTTTTATAACCTTATTAAATGTCTTTGTTATGTAAATTGTTAGAAATAAAACAATACTAATATAACATTTAATTTTAGAGGCATTACACATACAAATATTTGATGTGAACGATCTATGTACTTTGCAAAGTGTTCAGGAAAGTTTTAGTAATGTGTTATGACCTTTTTGTATCCCTTGACCTTCCCATTTAGATTGTAAGCTCTTATGAGCAGGGCCCTCTGATTCCTCTTGTATTGAACTGTATTGTAACTATACTGTCTGCTCTCATGTTGTAAATCACTGCTCAGACTGTTGGTGCCATATAAATCCTGTATAATAATAATAACTGAATATATTTCTTTTATGTTAAAGTGTTACTAAACCCAGGACTCTGCATTCACTATATCTGGTCTCACACAGTACACAGAACATGGAAATGCAATTATTTTAGTAAATACAAACTGATAAATACCTTTTCTCATCAACAGTTAGAGCAGTCTTGTGACTTCTATCAGTGTTCAACAGAGCACTGGTTAAATCTTGTAGGAGGAGTTATCTTTCTGCTATAGGAGGATGCAAAACCCCTGACCCCTGCCTGGACAGTGTTGATTGGCCCTGTGCTGATCACATGCACTCTCCCAAGAAAAAAAAAAACCTCTCTATCAATACACACTAAACTGAGCATGTGCAGAATGGCTACTGTTTAGTCTATCTTATCAGGAGCTAAGACTGTGTACATTTGAATAAGAGGAGGAGCAGAGAAGTCAGGCTCAAACATCCTTTTTACACAATGCAGAGAATTAACCCCTTAGGTTCCACAGTGAGTATAACAAGCATGCCTTACTGCATATACAGACTGATTTTACTGTTGTGGGTTTAGTAACACTTTAAGTAAGTGTTACAATATAGCCTCAAATATCTATGGTCATAGGTAAGGTATAGTAAAAAACTGGCTTTTGGAGGTATAAAATTGACAAACAGACCCTTCAGTTATATAAATATATAGATATATCTTTGTTTTCATGTTTTATTAAATTGTATATTGGATATAATGCTTTTTTATAACTAAATTTCCATACTTCCTACAGAGGAGTTAGCAGTGTGGTGCGGCGATGCGTATATAAGCCATCCAGAGAGGATTTTGCTGTAAAGATTATAGACATCACTGGAGATCACTTGACGCAGCAAGAAATTGAAGAACTTCGAGAAGCTACTATTAAGGAAATTGAAATCCTGAGAAAAGTTTCAGATCATCCTAATGTCAGTGAGTATTGTTTAATTGTAAAAATCTGTCTACTACAGAAACCAACACTTCCTAATATCTCCTGATAAGTTAGTAATTGCAGGGTTTAACTTTATAACGAATACTGAATATGAATTTGAAATGTAAATATTAAAGTTGTAAATGTTACCTACTAAGACATAACTAACTGCTTTAGTTTTGATGGAGAACTCTACCAAAACCTCAGCTCAGCTGTAATGGTTGCCCTTTTCAAGTGTTTACAAACCTTTGTATATAAAAAAGGTGTTATCGTGATCAGTTACATGAATGAAAAGAAATGAACGTACCTAGCTATGCCTCTACATACCTTTACCACTTGCCCTCCAGAGCATTTACCCCCTTCCTGACCAGGCCATTTTTGCGATACAGTACTGTGTTATTTAACTGACAATTGCGCGGTCATGCGACGCTGTACATAAATGAAATGTATGTCCTTTTTTGTCCACAAATATAGCTTTCTTTCAGTGGTGTTTGATCACCTCTGCATTTTTTATATTTTGCACTATAAACAAAAAACATATTTTTGACTTTTTGCTATAAAACATATCCAATAAAAAAATGTAAAAACTCAAATTTCATCAAATTTCATTTGCGCCAAAATATATTCTGCTATATGTCTTTGCTAAAAAAAAAATCACAATATGTGTAAATTCATTGATTTACGTGAAAGTTATAGCATCTACAAATGGCGGTGTATATACTAGAATTTACATTTTTTCTATACTAGTAATGGCGGCGATCAGCGACTTATAGCAGGACTGTGGCAGGTATTCTGACACTGAGGGGGGAACTGAATAACTGCCACTGACATCCCCGGTGACACTAATACAGTGATCAGTGCTAATAGAATGCACTGACACTGTACTAATGACACTGGGCAGGAAGGGGTTAACATCTGGGGCGATCATAGGGTTAACTGTGTGCTGTTTTACTAGGGAGGCATGCTGTTTTGTATCTGTGTGCTGTGCAAAGCTGCATTCTCCCAAGTAAAACACACACAGCAGACAATGTAAAACACAGCACAGCACATTGTTAACCCTTTGAGCACCCCAGATGTTAACCCCTTCCTGAACAGTGTCATTAGTACAGTGTCAGTAGCTTTTTATTAGCACTGATCACTGTATTAGCGTCATTGGGATGTCAGTGGCACTTCCCACCCAGTGTCAGAATGCCCGCCACAGTCCCGCAGTCCTGCTATAAGTCACTGATCGCTGCCATTACTATTATGAAACAAAACAAAAAAAAAATCCAGAATATATACAACCATTTGTAGACGCTATAACTCTCACGTAAAGCAATTAATTTACACTTATTGGGATTTTGTTTAGCAAAGACATATAGCAAAATACATTTTGGCCTAAATTTATGAAGAAATTTGTTTTTTTTAATATTTTTTATTGGATATGTTCTATAGCAGGGGTCTGCAACCTTTAAGACATAAAGAGCCACTTGGACCCGTTTCCGAGAGGGAAAAAAAGACTGGGAGCCGCAAAACCATTGCAACATTTAAAACAAATCCGACACTGCATATATTGCAAAAAGCGCTCTGGTCATGAAGGGGGTTTAAGGGCCCAGTAAGCAAAGGGTTAATCAGGGCCACAGTGTATCATCATAATCATAATCATAGCCTTAGGTCAGTGGTGGGCAACCTTTTTTTTCAACTGAGCCAAATCTCGCCAAAACCACGATTGAAATTTATTTTGAGAGAAACATTTTTAAAACTGAAAATACATCCCCCATATAGTAATTCATCCCCCATATAGTAATTCATCCCCCATAGTAATTCATCCCTCATAGTAATTCATCCCCCATATAGTAATTCATCCCCCATAGTAATTCATCCCCCATATAGTAATTCATCCCCCATAGTAATTCATCCCCCATATAGTAATTCACCCCCCATATAGTAATTCAGCCCCCCTATAGTAATTCATCCCCCATATAGTAATTCATCCCCCATATAGTAATTCATCCCCCATATAGTAATTAATCCCCCATAGTAATTCATCCCCCATAGTAATTCATCCCCCATATAGTAATTCATCCCCCATAGTAATTCATCCCCCATATAGTAATTCATCCCCCCTATAGTAATTCATCCCCCATATAGTAATTCATCCCCATATAGTAATTCATCCCCCCCATAGTAATTCATCCCCCATATAGTAATTCATCCCCCATAGTAATTAATCCCCCATATAGTAATTCATCCCCCATAGTAATTCATCCCTCATAGTAATTCATCCCCCATATAGTAATTCATCCCCCATAGTAATTCATCCCCCATATAGTAATTCATCCCCCATAGTAATTCATCCCCCATATAGTAATTCACCCCCCATATAGTAATTCAGCCCCCCTATAGTAATTCATCCCCCATATAGTAATTCATCCCCCATATAGTAATTCATCCCCCATAGTAATTCATCCCCCATAGTAATTCATCCCTCATATAGTAATTCATCCCCCATAGTAATTCATCCCCCATATAGTAATTCATCCCCCATAGTAATTAATCCCCCATATAGTAATTCATCCCCCATATAGTAATTCATCCCCCATATAGTAATTCATCCCCCATAGTAATTCATAATTCATCCCCCATATAGTAATTCATCCCCCATAGTAATTCATCCCCCATAGTAATTCATCCCCCATAGTAATTCATCCCCCATATAGTAATTCATCCCCCATAGTAATTCATCCCCCATATAGTAATTCATCCCCCATAGTAATTCATCCCCCATATAGTAATTCATCCCCCATATAGTAATTCATCCCCCCTATAGTAATTCATTGCCCATATTGTGTCAATTCACTTACCTTTGCTCCGCGCGTTCCTCTCGCTGTGTTCCTGTGCCGTTCTGGTCTTCAGGGCGGACTGTGAGAGGAGAGGAGTTCGTCACGCTGCCCCGCCTACATCCTGACAGCCAATGTTTGCCAGCGGGCGCCCGGCACACAGAAGAGCTGCATTAAAAGAGCCGCGGCTTGCCGACCCTATTGCCTGTCACCTGGTGGGCAGTGTGCTCCGGAGCCGCAGGAAAGGTGAAAAAGAGCCGCATGCGGCTCCGGAGCCGCGGGTTGCCGACACCCGTTCTATAGCAAAAAGTAAAAAAAATTTTTTTTTTTTTATTTTTCAAAAATCTTTTTTTGTTTATAGCGCAAAGAATAAACAACACAGAGGTCATCAAATAAGAAAGCTCTATTTATGGGAAAGAAAATACATACATTTCATTTGTGTGCAGCGTTGCATGACTGTGCAATTGTCAGTTAAAGTAATGCAGCTCTGTATTGCAAAAAGTTACCTGGTCAGGAAGGGGGTAAATCCTCTGGAGGGCAAGTGGTTAAAACAGCACTGATTGTAATTAAAGATGAGCGAATCGAACCTGGCAAAGTGGAATTCGTTTCGAATATTAGGAAAAATTCGATTCGCGCCGAATCCGAATCCCGATCGGCCGATTTTCATCCCTTCTACAGCCGGCAAAAAGTGTCCCTGCAGAGAGCTCCGCTATTTCTGACAGTTCTCTGACAGTTCCTTCACATTTACAGCGGTTGAAACATTGTATCTATTTGTTTCCATTTAGGATACAGATGTTTTTATTCGGAAACAAATAGATACAATGTTTCAACCGCTGTAAATGTGAAGGAACTGTCAGAGAACTGTCAGAAATAGCGGAGCTCTCTGCAGATACACTTTTTGCTGGACTGGAATTCTTCTTCATCCTCATCCTACTTCTTCTTCTTCTTCTTCATCCTCATCCTACTTCTTCTTCTTCTTCTTCATCCTCATCCTTCTTCTTCTTCTTCTTCATCCTCATCCTACTTCTTCTTCTTCTTCTTCATCCTCATCCTACTTCTTCTTCTTCTTCATCCTCATCCTACTTCTTCTTCTTCTTCTTCTTCTTCATCCTCATCCTACTACTTCTTCTTCTTCTTCTTCATCCTCATCCTACTTCTTCTCTTCTTCTTCTTCTTCTTCTTCATCCTCATCCTACTTCTTCTTCTTCTTCTTCATCCTCATCCTACTTCTTCTTCTTCTTCATCCTCATCCTACTTCTTCTTCTTCTTCTTCTTCATCCTCATCCTACTTCTTCTTCATCCTCATCCTACTTCTTCTTCTTCTTCTACTTCTTCTTCTTCATCCTCATCCTACTTCTTCTTCTTCTTCTTCTTCATCCTCATCCTACTTCTTCTTCTTCTACTTCTTCTTCTTCTTCTTCATCCTCATCCTTCTTCTTCTTCTTCATCCTCATCCTACTTCTTCTTCTTCTTCTTCATCCTCATCCTACTTCTTCTTCTTCTTCATCCTCATCCTACCTACTTCTTCTTCTTCTTCTTCTTCATCCTCATCCTAGTTCTTCTTCTTCTTCATCCTCATCCTACTTCTTCTTCTTCTTCTTCATCCTCATCCTACTTCTTCTTCTTCTTCTTCTTCATCCTCATCCTACTTCTTCTTCTTCTTCTTCTTCCTCATCCTACTTCTTCTTCTTCTTCATCCTCATCCTACTTCTTCTTCTTCTTCTTCATCCTCATCCTACTTCTTCTTCTTCTTCTTCATCCTCATCCTTCTTCTTCTTCTTCTTCTTCTTCATCCTCATCCTACTTCTTCTTCTTCTTCTTCTTCTTCTTCATCCTCATCCTACTTCTTCTTCTTCTTCTTCTTCTTCTTCATCCTCATCCTACTTCTTCTTCTTCTTCTTCTTCATCCTCATCCTACTTCTTCTTCTTCTTCTTCTTCATCCTCATCCTACTACTTCTTCTTCTTCTTCTTCTTCTTCATCCTCATCCTCTTCTTCTTCTTCTTCATCCTCATCCTCTTCTTCTTCTTCTTCTTCTTCCTCTTCCTCATCCTCTTCTTTTTCATCCTCTTCTTCCTCTTCTTCTTCTTCATCCTCTTCTTCATCCTCTTCCTCTTCTTCTTTTTCTTCTTTTTGTCTTCCTCTTGCAGGTCACTGCTCATGCGCAGATTTTTTATCGGCAAAAAATCGTCCGATTTGCCCACTATTGCCGCAGGTGCTGTATGGCCTCCCATTGCTGCTGCCTCCACCGCCACACTGTGGCTCCACACTCTGGTTTTGGCCCCGTGACTGCCCAAATGAGTGAAGTGTGCGGTGATTCTAAGATCGACGGCACTCATCTGCATGTCATACTGACTGACAGTATTATTTCTCTTCCCCAGCAGACTCCAAGGGCATTTAAATTAAAGGTACAGTGTTCTGCACTAATATAAAGGCTCTCTGAAGCCTAGAAACCCTTTTTATAAGTTAAATTCGCAGCGAATAAATTCGCATCGAATCGAATTTATTCCACAAATTCGGCGAATCAGCCGAATCGAATTTTTGAATAATTCGCTCATCTCTAATTGTAATAGATACACTTGCACATATTTTTTTAAAGGAAATCAGGAGGTAGTGTGCTCCAAACATCTAGTAGAACTAACAACAGTTCGTTGAATTTAGGCAGTTTCAGTTGCTTTTGTCAGTTTATGCAATCCCAGACAGACCCACTAATGCTTATACTGTATATATTTCTATATTCTGTGTATATACTGTATATATATATATATATATATATATATATATGCATTACTGTGCAAAAGTCTTAAGCAGGCTTTCAGAAATAGAAGTGTTCATAGTTTATTTTTAACAATTAACAAAATGGAAAGTAAATAAACAGAAGAGAAATCCACATCAAATCAACATTTGCTGTGATCACTCTTTGCCTTCAAAACAGCATCAATTCTTCAGTTTTTTTAGTACACTTGCACACAGTTTTTGAAGGAACTTGGCAGGTACGTTGTTCCAAACATCTTGTAGTACTAACCACAGATCTTCTGTGGATGGAGGCTGCCTCAAATCCTTCTGTCTCTTCACGTAATCCCATACTTGATGATGTTGAGATCAGGACTCTGTGGGGGCCAAACCATCACTTCCAGGACTCCTTGTTCTTCTTTACACTGAAGATAGTTCTTGGTGACATTGGCTGTATGATTGGGGTTGTCCCGCTGCAGAATAAATTTGGGGCCAATCACACACCTCCCTGTTGGTATAGCATGATGGATAAATATCTGCCAGTATTTCTCAGCATTGGGGAAACCATTGATCTTGACCAAGTCTCCAACTCAATTTGCAGAAATTCAGCCCCAGACTTGCAAGGAACCTCCACCATGCTTCACTGTTGCCTGTACACACTCATTATTGTATTTCTCTCCAGCCTTTTGCGAACAAACTGTCTTTTGCTACAGCCAAATATTTCAAAATTTGGCTCATCAGTTCAGAGCACCTGCTGCAATTTTTCTGCACCCCAGTTTCTATGTTTCTGTGCATAGGAAACAAGGCTAAGTGACTCAACTATGCAGGAAAACATAGGAATTGCGTTGCAGAAAATTGACAGCAGGTATTCTGGACTGATGAATCAAAATTTGAACAATTGGGCTGCAGGCATCCCATGCTGAGTCTCTTCTTTCCTCTCCTTGCAGTGATGACAGTTCAGGCTAGATGGCATCTGATCTATGTGATGGTGCTGACCAATCAAAAGTCCTCTCGCCAAAACTTTCCTTGCTGCAAGGAGAGGAAAGAGACTCAGCATAGGATGCCTGCAGCCCAATTTTTCAAATCCCCGATTGGCACTGATATCAGTATTGGTGCATCCCTACTTGAGAGCGATAAAATAATATGCCCCCATTTTCCAATTACTGAGTGCAATTTGGAGATTGGTTATGGATTACTAGGGATAAAGAGGTGTACTTTCGTTACACACCTTTTTGGGGTAACCATTTATATAAAGAAGCAGCAAATTTGGAGGGATTTGAGCTCTGGAAACAATGTTTTTTGTTCAGTTTTGAGCAGTTGTATTTTAATGATTCGCATAAATAATTTCAGCAGCTACAGGAATAAAATCTTTTTTTAGCAGAATAGTGTTATGCAATAAGTTCCAAAGAGAAGATAACACCTATGAAATATTATAAGATCCCAGTGATGGAGGATGTGGTGTAGTCTTTCCTCCGCACACAACCTATCAATCCATAAAGATTTGATGAAATATCACCTGAAATGTTGACAGCAATAGTCTTGAGACATAGGTAATGTTTAAGAGGATGACTGGTCAGAGATATTAAGGGCAATTCTTTCTTTCTTGTTATCATGCTGCCAGAGAGTAAAGCCTCATATACATGTTAAGAATATTGGATGAATGATCGTCTGTTTTTTTGCATGCTGGTCTCAAATCAGAAACAAACCGGTTACTAAAATTCCAAAAATTCTCATTAGAATACAATTTCAGAAGTAATGTAATGCATTGTATTGTAATGCATTAAATCTCCAAGCATGTGCAGTTTTGGTCACTTAATTTTTTTCATGCAAATACTATACTAATTACACAAAATTTGTTCTGTTATCTTACAAGAAAATGTGCGCTTGTCCTTTTGGATATTTTCGCATGAACTGTCATGATTGGCTCTCAAAAGCTGTGTACTGAGGATCAGATATTGAATGATTGCTCCAAAAGCATTTTTTTCATCCGATTTTTTCATCATTTGTACAAGGCGTAATGCAGAAAATTTTTCATAATAGGACATATTTAACTCCCAATAGTCCTAATGGTACTAGATGTAGACAGGTCCCGCAAAACTTCATTTATCTTATCCAAAGATGTTCCAAGGTGGCAAGATATTGGAATATTATTATTTAACATTAATGATGTCTTTGAAAAGTATAAGTAGCGTAGTATGTAATCCTTATACTATACATGTATGGTGGGGCATCTAGAGCAGTGTTTCTCAGCCTTTGTTTAGTCAAGGCACCCCTTTCATTTACGCACAATCTTAAGGCACCCCATTCTAAAATGTAAAAAACGAATAGCTTGACATAATGCAGCAACAGCCACATACGTAGGACACCCAACGTTAGAGGTGATTTATTCTTCCAAAGCAAATACATCTTTGCACACTGGTACTGACTAGTATTCCAATGTTTCTCTTCTCCCTCACTCAGCTACTGTGACCCCACTGTTGATGGAGAAGGGCAGGGGAGGGGCAAACAAGGATACTGTGCAGGCACCCAAGGTGTTCCTTATCAACAGATGATGTCATTGGTTGTTAGAACACTGGCAGCTAGAAGGTTGTAATGGTGTAACCTTCAAACCTTTGACGAACGGAAATGACAACAAAAAGGCAAGTTTGATCCACTCACTGGCTTGTATACCTTTTTGTTGGGTAATTTGTAGACATTTTGCCAAGGCATCCATGAAGAAACCTTGAGGCTGAAAAAGGCTGATCTAGAGGTTCAAGAAAATCAAGCTTATCAAAGATTGGGGTTTAGGTGAATACTGTTTCTAGATGAAAAATTGGTTGCACAAAGGTAAGTTTTGGCACATCCATCAACAGCGAAGGAATGGCTGATGGCAGACATCTGGAATTTGAATTTAGAGCAGTTTTCAGCATAAAGGAAGTTTTAAAGTATTTGTAAACCAATATTTTTTTCTTTAACAAACATGTTACATCTATTTGCTCTGTGCACCCCGATCTTCCTCTTCTCGGGTCCTCCACTGGTATTTCTGGCACCTCCCCCTGCCGAATGCCCACTCTAGCAAGCCGCATGTTATGGGGGCACTTGTGCGGGCTCACTCTCAAGCCAGCTGTGTGTGTCTCTAGACATACAGAGAGCGGCTCAGCCCTGCCCCCCGCTGTCTCCTCACTGGCTGTGGTTGACAGCAGCTGTCTTGGAGCCTATGAGGAGGGAGAGACCTGAGGGAGACTCTGCTCTACTGCACAGTATAAGTGGTAAAAAACCTTCATCCTTTAGAATCACTTTATCACAACCACACAATTGGTTTTAAAGTGTTACTAAACCCACAACAGTAAAATCAATCTGTATATGCAGTAAAGCATGCTTGTTATACTCACTTGTGTAAAAAGGCTGTTTGATCCTTACTTCTCTGTTCCTCCCCTTTTTCAAGCATCCACCACTTATCTCCAGACTGATACGTAGGCATGTACATGCTCAGTTTGGTGTATATTGCTAGAGAGGTTTTTTTTTTCTTGGGAGAGTGCATGTGATAGGCACAGGGCCAATCAGCACAGAGGTCAGGGGATTTCCATCCTCCTAGAGCAGAAAGAAAACTCCTAAAAGCTTTAGCTAGTGCTGGGCTGGACACTGATAGAAGTCACAAGACTGCTCTAGCTTCTGATGAGAAAAGGTATTTAGCAGTTTATATTTACTAAAATAATTGCATTTCCATTTTCTGTGTATTGTGGGAGACCAGATATGCAGATGGATGCAGGAAGATTTGGGTAGAATGGCTTCAGGGATTTGGTTTTGTACTGAATTAATGAGAATATAAACGATGTTACAATTTTGAGAATGCTGGTGTAATATTTTGTCTGGGATATGTGGTTTTATGTTTCTTTTTTCAGGTCAAAGTGATGGAATGGATTAGAATGTATAATATTTTTTTGGGTTTAGTTTGGTATTTTTGTTTTCTATTATTTTGAATGTGGTTTATTTTGTGTCGAGATGCTTTTCTATGGTATATGTGTTTGTTGGAAAAATGTTTTTTAAAATGTGGATTAACAAAAAGGAATAACTAATTACAGTGACTCAACCCTGGGTTGGCCTAACCCAAAGCTTCTGTTAGAC